GCCTACATCAAGCCACTAGACTGCATAGTTTGCAAAAACATACAAAAACAAGAAAATTATATTATCTCCCTTCCCGGGCATCTCTCTTATCTCTTCATTCTTCAACCCCAAAACATTCGCATTTATCTGTTAGGATAATGGCTCCCAATCCCAGTCCTGGTGATCCACACACCAGCTGGTTTTCATTCCACCCACCTTAATTTGATAATTAAAGCCTCAATTGATCTAAGAAGTTGCTTCATTGGAATATTTGCATTTTGTTTCCAGTCACAGGTTCGGGATTTACTTAAACTTATTATTACTAAGTCAATGAAGGGTTTGGTTGTGGAACTGAGGGCTTGACTGGAATAAAAACCACCAGGAACAGGAACCTCTGTGTCAAAACATACCAAATGAAAACTGAACATACATCAGTCAGAATAAACAATGTCGTTAAAATAAAAATCGAACACTCTAAAAAAACAGCCACATTTAAAAACAGACTTTCCAGTATTCTTGTAATGTTATAGGGTAAAACTTCTCACAATATAACTAAACATGAACAACTGTCTGGAATACATTAGTAATGTCTGCCTGAGTTTCTGGGATCAATTAGCAAGATACCACCCGAAGAGCAAGAAGAGCCTCATGGTTTTCTCATTGTCTCTTTGTTACATCTCCACGATGCTTTTTTGCAACGTCACTTCACTCCGCGTTCAAACCCTGCAGCAACGCCCCAAAGTTTAAACGCAAACGTCTGAGGCCAGTCCACATTGGGGAAAAAAAACATTTTCCCCACAGACACTGGCTTTATAGAGGACCACTTGCTACTGGCGCGGAAGCTCAGATCTGAAGAAACCTGCTGTTTAAAACGTTGCCGCTGTCTCTACCTCCAGGAATTTCACACAATGTAGCAAACCACCAAGAACTGGATCTTGACCCACAGAGCAAGTCCCCATGGGACTGAAATCACTGAAACTTCAAGCATGATCTCAGCCTCGGCTTCTTCCTTCAGTCTCTCACCACTGTTCTCTTTGCCCCCAACTTTTTTTAAATCGATGTCTGGCCTGTGTTTTTTATTTTATTTCACCTCATATCTGGGAGCGATTAACTCTTTCGTCAGGGGTGCTTCGGTGCTGGTCTTCCATTTTCTTCAAACTGTTGAGACGTGAGGAGTTTCCTCGATCGGCACGCTTCAGTCCCACAACAGTTCCCGCTTTCAGACTGCGCAGGTGGGCACGGGTGCCACCTCCCGGGCCCCTTTCTAAATTCAGACCAAGTTCATATCGGAGTTCACGGGCTGCATTCCACCCTCGCCCGTCCAAGTCACGCACAAGAGAGAGCCATATAGGAGCCATATGGTTCACTGTACTAATTAAAAATCTGTGCAAGTCCAGGAGCAAAACAGAGCTACATTCTGTTTTAAATAAAGGACTGTATTTTTGGAGTGCAGCAACAAATGCATCACTGAACAGTGGGGGGACTGGGGTAGCACTTTGCTTGATGTCGATGAGAGATAAGTGCAGTAATTATACCAGTGTCCAGAAACACAGGCACTGCCATATTAATACAGTCTGCAGAAAACGAGCAGAGCTGAATTCCACACCGAGTTCCACCTCGTCAAGTGTGACAGCCGCCCTTTGGCACTGCTTCCAAGGGGTCTCTACATTTGCAGCTCCACACTGCATTACATTGCATAATTTAGCTGGGCTTTTTTTTCCCTTCCAGGATACAGGATTTAATCACTTTTAGCTGGTGTCCTTTAGTGTTTAATAAGAACCCGAGTCTTGAGAGCTGGAGGAAAGCCCACGACCCTGAAGTTCCTCAGCTTACAGAGGTGACCTCCTGCCTGCACACTCAGCGCAGCTCTCGGGGAGCAATCTGTCACTGGAGTAGAGGAACAGAAAGCCTCCGAGTGCCCACGCGCTCCCTCATTTACAAGAAAAGATCTTCTCCGACGACTCCGATCCCTCGTTTGACTGCTCCCCATTTTGCCTGCGCCAACACTGGATCCTACAAGATTTGGAGAGGGTACAGGTCGTGTGCGCTCTAAATAAACTTCCTTGACTTAGGAATTAACAGGGTAACCCTGAAGAATGCCGGGTGCCCTGCCGCAGAATTCCCTCTAGTTAAGTCAGCAGCACCTCACGGGACCTGCTTAATTATTTTTAAATGAATCTTGCCACATCATTAATCAATACTGCACTTCTCACTGTCCATGATATCATCTCACTCACACCAGAATAAAGAGCAAATAACATCGCAGGAGAGGCAGTATTAAAAAAGATCCTGGTACGCCGCTCGTTGGCAATTCCACCATCTCCTGTATAAGAAAGAAAAGTGGACACAAGTGGACGGAGAGTGCATAGCAGCCAGTGCAGTCAGGCAGGCACTCCTGGTCCATATAAAGTACTCTTCAGCATGGGCTGCAGACCTCAATAATGACACTCGGTGTCAGTTTCCTTTCAATCCAGTTTCCACGTGAGGCGCCACCTCCTTGCCCTGAACCGCAGCAGAGCGGGCATTTCCTCAGCTGGCGCAGAAGACACCGTGTTCCTTCTGGATTTTGCTTATCGTAGAGTTTATTGCCATTTCCCAGGGTGCAACGCAACGCAATGAGGTTGGAAGAACCTGTTCTGCCGAGAGGAAAAACGCCCAAATTCTAGCCAGCATGGTGCAGTTCTTCGTACAGCAGTAGCTATTGCCCAAGCCCTACCAGCCCTAAAACTCTTTGCAGGAGGATTTGTGAAAAATAGTAGAAAGTATAAACTGAACCATGGATACAGGGCCAAACAATACCATTTAACTACCATCTAGGGAATAATTTGTGAATCGTGGCCATAAAAGGCTCCATGTATGAATATTCAATTATGGTTATCATACTGTCAAGCCTTTCTTTCAGTCTCTCAAGAAAACTAGGATGAAACTATTTGCACGCTGGCTTGCTGAAGCACTGACATGAAGTTGTTGTTTCTTTTCGAGTAACTGAACCCCTGGCGCAAGACCAGCAGCGATGGATGAGTAAAAGAATCTCAACTGAAAGTAACCAGAGCTGAAGGCTGAGCTGCCACACACTGCCTTAGCCTGCAGAGCCACCCGGTTACAAGATGCATTGAATCCCGCTTGTTAAGGTACTGCAGCGTTGCCATGACAATAGGCAAAACCTCAGAAAAGGAATCGCTCAATATTTGGGCCTGGAAGCTTTTACAGTCAAACACACTGACCTTGTACGGCTACACACAACAAAAAGCAACTACAAACCCTCAACATGAATATGGGAAGTTAAAAATGAAAATAATGACAATATGAGTAGAAGATAATTAAACACAGGGTAGCTTTTCAAGGATTATTTAGTCCCTGGCACATTAAACGTTTTCTCTTATTTCAAATCCTTCCACTGTCGGAATGCCCAATGAAGGTGGTGATAAATTGGAGCCGACCTCAGAAGACAGGGCGCAAGGCCACTCTGACAGAGACTACTCTTCCCCGGACAGGACGCAATCCCATCACAGGACAGAGAGAGCATCAATATCAGCCCAGCCAATCATAGGGGCGGGGCGGTGGCTCTGTGGCTCAGGATCTGCGCCTGCGGCTGGAAGGTTGCCGGTTCGTATCCCGCAGCCGGCAGAGGAATCCTACTCCATTGGGCCCCTGACCAAGGCCCTGAACCCCAGCTGCTCCAGGGGCGCCGTATAAAAGGCTGACCCTGCGCTCTGACCCCAAGCCTCTCTCCCTGTCCGTGCGTCTCATGGAGAGCAAGCTGGGGTATGTGAAAAGACAAATTCTTAGTACAATAAATTGTATGTGGCCAATAAAGTGATCTTAATTTTAGTTGGCACGTCCTTGGCAAGTGGGAGGAAACCGAGGCACCTTGAGCAGACCCATGAGAACATGGGGAGAGCAGGCAGACTCCACACAGACCGACACCTCAAGGCTGGACTGGCACGCGTCACATTTGTGAATGAGCCGCACCTTCCCATAAGGCACCAGCTAGTGCTAACCTCCACACCTACAGTACATGTACAGCTGCACTGCACCACTGCGGTACACCTGACCCTTCTTTACCGCGGGAGAAGCGCTTGCAAAAGCCAAACGAATGCTGAAGACAGGCAGCACCGCGCAACAGCTGTTTTGTCGACACTGTGACGAGCATCACATGTTGAAAACGCACAAACAAACTCCTGCGGCTTTTAATCTCATCCAACGTTTATACAACCTTCATATAGAATTTTAAAATTCCCTTCAGTCCAGACCATGGGTAGTGGGGCAAGGTGGGATGGAGACCAGGCAGTTGCATTACACCGACTTGTTCTTAACGTGTCATTAATAAAACTGCACAAAGAATAGAAAATAATTCTATACTGCACCAGAGGTCTGACAATGCACATAAGAAGCCCAGCCCAGGATTAAGTGCAATACAGAAAAAATGACAGTAGGATATCACAGAGTGGAAACTAGAATACTGCGGCAGGAAGCCCATGATCTTTTAAAGGAAGCATCACGCAATGGGCCCGAGTGCAAAACCAGCTACCCAGTTATTTTGTTGAAGCCGATACCTTTCAATGTTCTGTGAGACTGTCCTTCATCTCCAGGAAAGGCTCTGGGTCCCTGAAACCCACACCAGGAATAAGCAGACTCTTGCAGGCACTCCTGCAGCCCTGCGCTGTGAGCACAAACACAGCAATACTACCGACCGAAGTGGAGCTCTGCTCTCTTCAACTTAAACAACAGGGGTTGGCAGAAAGACATGGGACACCGCCAGGCTCCTTCACGCAACGAGGCCAGTCCAGTTGGAGAAAAGAAGCAGAGCCTTCGGAAAGGAAAGGTCTCGCGCACAAGGCCCTAAGCTTTCGTCGGAGGCCCTGCCACTCCTGCAGCAGCATCTAAACCCAGTGAGGTCTGGCCTTATATCCCGGCTAGGAGTGGGAAGAGCTCCCACTCCGAGAGCATGTGGGATTCGCGCGGGATTCATCCGCGCAACTCCGATGCCCGGCCCAGCTCCCCCCACCTGAGGCCCTTACCTGGCGGAGGCGACACCACGGAGAAGCCGGTCCGAGCTCTCCGAGAGGTCGCTGGGCACCAGGATCTCCACCGGCTGCACGCGCAGGACACGGGCTTCCAGCGCCGAGCGGGACGGCCCGTCCTGGAAGCAGTCCATCACGATGTCCCCGGTGCTGGGCTGCACTGCCTGTCCCACGGGGCACAGCACACACAGCGGGTCAGCGCCCCAGCAACACTCACCACAGCACAATCCCACTGCCGCGCAGGCCCCCCAACAACGCTCCGCCACACAACGCATAACAATAATAATAAAGTGCACTTATACTGTGCTTTTCTGGACACTCCACTCAAAGCGCTTTACAGGTAAAGGGAATCCCCTCCACCACCATCAGTGTGCAGCCCCACCTGGATGATGCGACGGCAGCCGCAGAGCACCAGTACACTCCCCACACACCAGCTGTCAGTGGGGAGGAGAGCAGAGTGATGAAGCCAGATCAGAGATGGGGATTATTAAGAGGCCATGATCTGTAAGGGCCAATGGGAAATTTGGCCAGGACACCTTGGAAAAACCCCTACCTTTTTTCGAGAAACGCCCTGGGATTTTTAATGACCACAGAGAGTCAGGACCTCAGTTTTATGTCTCATCCAAAGGATGGCACCTGTTTACAGTATAGTGTCCCTGTCACTATACTGGGACATTAGGACCCACACAGACTGCAGGGTGAGTGCTCCCTGCTGGCCCCACTAATACCTCTTCCAGCAATAACCTTAGTTTTTCCCAGGAGGTCTCCCATCCAGGTACTGACCAGGCTCACACCTGCTGAGCTTCAGTGGGCCTGTCAGATGAGCACTGCAGGGTGACATGGCTGCTGGCATGCTGGTTTTACAGCAGGATCACCACCACGCAGGCTGCTGCAGAGGCAGAGCCCGGCTACACACTCTTACAGCAGGTTTTATTTCACCTTACAGCACTTTCACATGTGGCCAAAAATCCTGTTTATGCTACAGGGCCTCGCATTAAAAACATTAAGCCTGCACTCAAGTAAGTGTATGGAGCAACTCAGCGGCAGATATCCCACGCCATCTGGTGGTCACAGTAACAGTAACAAACTGTTTTTTCACGAGTCCCGTCGTTAAGCTAGCAACAGACCTCATGCAGATCAGTGGCTCTCCAGAGAATGTCTCTCATTTGACAAAACTTCAAAAAGCGCAAGAACACACACATATCCCACATCCACTCGTTGGTAACCATGCACAGACATTTTCAAAGCAGAGTAAGCCCGTGTGCTAAAGCATTCCTTACCACAATGCCTACAGAGAGTTCCTGCCTCCTGCTGTCCCAGCTCTCGCTCACACAAAGCAGGTAGTTGTTGGGGGAGTCCAGGACCACATCCTCCGCCTCCTCAAGGTCGCCCAGCTTCAGCAGAGGGTTCACATCTGGGCAGCAGTCAAGGGACACAAGGTCCTCCATGTTGGAGGTTGGACACAAGGCTAACAACCCTGTCCCGTAAAAAACTGATGTTACAGTAAGAGCAACGGGGTGTGGCTGCCAAACATCCACATCCATCCATCCATCCCCGGAGTGGCACTGCGTCTAGAGGTTTTTACTCCAACCCGGCGGCCAGCAACCTGAATCTACCGTCTCAACTGGACAATGGAATACTCCAATTTCCCTGTTCACTCAAGTCACAGCCCTTTCCTCAATCCTTTTCTCTTCCAAAATGCACCAGTTCCAGGACAGACTCCCACACATAACCCCAGTACCTCCCGAGCAAACGAACACCAAACTGTCCAAACTGCTGCCAAACATCCCCCCCACCCCCTCTTCGTTCTCCAAACCCCCAGCGTCGCACCCTGCTGACGAGGGATGTTGCGATTAACCGGTTTCACTATTAACCACGATTAAAAATGTCCCGGTTTCCAAACCGTGAGAATTTTAGAAGCTGCAGTGAAATTCTATTTTGGGAGCCTCGCGTTCCACGTTCCCCCGAAAAATTCCTCTCGCGAGTGAGTGAGTCGCGTGGGTGTGCGGTGTGCCTGGCTCGGCTCGGCTCAGCTGGCTAGTCCAACAACACCTTAGTTAGCCTACAGAGGGCAGACGTGCTGTGCGAAACACCGAGGGATACGACATCCCAGCGTTATATCCACCAAAAAAGTGGTGTGGGAGCATTTTGGATATGCAAAAAATGATCAGGGGGTAGCAGAAGATGAAGGATATCCAATTCGCAAAACATGACGGGAAAAAAAAAATGGCTGCCAAAGGTTCAAACACATCTAATCTGCTTTAGCATCTCCGTGATCACCATCCATCCCTCTATACACAAGTCAAGGGGAAAAAATAAACTAGCGAACGTGACATTAGTTCGCTTTAGTTAGGCCCCGCCGCGGCTGGAGCAGTTCACAGCAGAGCAGTCCTCTGTGCACGTTTAACATTACTTTCGTTTTCATTCGAGTTGAAGGATACCTCTGTCACTTAGAAACATGTTTCCTACAACGGGAGCTCGCCACCAGTCCACCCACTGGCCCTGGCGTTAAAGTAAAAACACTCTTTACTGACGACGAGTGACGAAGAGGAGGAACAGGCCGAGAGTGACCTGGCTGAATATTTCCATTTGTCACTGCCAACTTTTCCCCATCATATTTATGTTTCTAATGTCATAAGATGTTTAATTATGCCATGCTTTGCGTCTTTTTTCCCCTCCTCCTCTCAGAATAAATGACCTGAATCGCAGAACTGTGGTTATTTCCCGAGACTATAATCGTATCGCCACAATCTCACACCGCGACATCCCTACTCCTGATCTCTGGAAGGATACCCTCCCCCACCAGCGTAGACTTGGTGTAGAGCCCGCAGAGCTGCCGGGTGAAGAGGGAGCTCTTGTTCGCGCCCCCCGCCTTCAGCGCCGTCGTCTCCGTCTGCTTCACCACGCCCACCTGAGGAGACACGAGAGCGGGGGTCTGGTCTGCTCTGCTCCCACCTACCCTCATCGCCATGCTCAGGCGCGGCAAGGCCAGCCCAGTCACCGGAACCTCAACTGTGCCATCGAGGACAGCCGCCGGAGCATCGGGCGGCATGGACGCCGTGTGTCCTTCTCAACGTCTTTATGAAGAGCGGTTCTTTAAGATATTCGCCCAGGCCCAAGGGTCTCAAGCAAACTCAGCTGGCTTGCAGGCCCCAGATGAGGGGTGAGAACAGTCAGCCTAGTCGTTCAAGTCCGAGTCACAGCAGTGCCACCTTGCACATGGTAGCCATGAACCACTGTGGTCGGTCTGAACACCGTTTCCCACAGGCAGTACCGCAGCAGCTCCCTGCGGCTGCCTGTGCGTGTTGCAAGCATGCACTTGAATCTACTTAGCATGTGAGCTTGAATCTATTTCTGCAGCTCTTACAGAACGTTCAGCCCACCATACAAGAAGAATGTCTTTGCTTAATAAAATCTGAAATGGCACTAGGCTGCTCCAAAGCATAAAAATGATGAGCAAAGGGGTTCAACATAGCAAGACACATCTCCGTTACCAAATTAATGACTTACAAGTCCCGGGACAGAGGCATCGAGATGCATTCTGTTCTTTAAACATATTGCGAGCTCCTCCCAGAGCAGGTCATGACTTTGTTCAATACACAGAGGAACCCAGAGAGAAGACTGACCTTGTAGCCCTGAGACACCAAGCGCCGCACGTGTACGAACAGCCTGTGAGTGGGGATGCTTGCCGTCATGAAGTTATGATCCAAGTGGCATGAAATGTTCAGCTCCTTCGCAGCAATCTACGGGAAACACAAGAGAAGTGCTCAGCATCTAAAAACTAACAGAAAGAAGAACTGGCTGTTGCTTAAAAATACACCAGAGCTGTCTCCTTCCTTATGAAATGTAATTCTCAACCGAAAACTGGAAAAAAAAAACTTCGTATTTAACATTATGACCACTGGCTCAAAATACTGAAAGCCACCACAAAGCGCACCCAGCAGATCATATCACACAGCGATGAAACAAGGGCCTGACAGCACAGATGAAAATGTATTGATATCATCGAGTACATTAAGGAATGAAATGAAGCGCTTCTTAACTTGTGAGCATCTCAAGCAAGTTAAGGAGCAACACTTGAATTCCATGATGTAGGCCAAGGAAACGCTCAAGAAACAGCTAGGCGACATCCCAGCTGAACAAGCTACTGTACCAATAACTACAATTCATCTGCAAAAGATGGGCTAAGTTGCATCCTTTCGTTTGTAACCTCCGCTCCTAAGCCTGTGCCGATTTTTTAAATCCCAGTTCACAACAGCTTGAGTTCAGCTCCTGACCAAAAGAAATGATCACAATCTGCACTGCGCCATGCTGTGATCCAAGTAAATGATTTATACAAGACGTCCTTTTTGGACTTTTATGGGAGAAGCCAAAGATACATTTCCACAGCGGTGCACAATAAAACATCTATCCACCACTCACAGTACCAAATGCTCCATTCTCACCTCTGCATCTTCTCCGAAGAAGCGGTACTTGTAGCCACACTCCACGCACAGCAGGGCGTCCTTGTGCTGCTGCTTGATCTCCAGGAACTGCAGCTCCAGAGGGGTGTAGATGCACTTGGTTCTCCGGTTGGGGAGGCTGATCTCCGAAGGGCCTTTCTTTGCAGCTCCTCCACTGCTCACCTTGGCGAACTGGCCCAGGTTTAGACCCTGTCCGTTCTGAAGGAGGAGCACAGGGACCCACAGTTAGCAGCACCCTGGTGGGCTTCAGGAGTGCCTCGGTTGGGCCAGCTCCAGACAAAAAGGGTCACAAGTCTGGTTTTATCTTGGCTGCGCTGCTCACTGTATTAAATCATTTATCAATTATTGAATTGACTGCTTTGCTTTCAATTGGCACATCTTTACACAAAGGGTTGTGGGAGTACAGAACAAGCTACCCAGCCATGCTGTCAAAGCAGAAACGCTGTGCCTCATTCAAGAAACAGCTGAAGGAGATGTTTGGATCAACCAGCTAGATGGGCTGAATGAGACCTTTCCTAGTTCATTTCATATTACACAGTTTCCTAGTTCATATCATATCACACAGTGTTACTGTAGTTGCACCAAACTAAAAACAAATTAAATGACAAGACCTGAACTCTGAGAAGGTGCAAAAGCTCTGTCAAGCAAACTCTTCTCTGTAAATTGTTTTACAGCAAATGATTCGCAGAAAAAAAATGCATGTCAAACAGGCGTTTCCTGAAGGCGGTTATTTTTACAGTTTCTGCACCTGCGTGGCATTGTAGTTGTGGCTTTTTCATATTGTCAAGCAAAAAAAGCTTCACGTCTGGAAACATGTTTTTTGTTTTTAATTCACATGAGGTATTTCTCTGGTGTAGCTAAGTCCTGCAACAGTTAAGCTGTTACTGCTGAAATCAAAGTACTAAGCTAAGTAATAATCTGAAAACTTGAAAATTCAATAATCAGGTTAACAATACTACCTTCTACTACATTAACAAAGTGGATCAGTCCAATAAAAAAAAAGCACAATTCTCAATATCGAGGTGCAGACCCTCAAGTTTTAATGGCTATTTTCCTGTTCCAGACAGATTGCGCGACACGGTTCTTAATTTATTAACACAACAGATGTCTGTGCTCTTCTTTGTCCAAATGGAAACATAAAATCGCTTCAGAGCAGTTTTAAAAGCTTTTTTACTCGGAAACAAAACACGAATGCCATTAACGGAACCCGATTTGTACACTTGTAATGGTACAAATCAGTGCAGGAAAATAAACTATGTCTTTCAAACACGGGGCCAAAATACGTTGCTGTTAGCTGGATAAAAAAAAGACTGCATTTTGCCTCCACACAAAATGTTTGAAATATGTTCCTGTTCATCTTGAATTACTAAGACTCTAAAAGACATTAGGGACTAACCCTACATCAGTAGACGATCTCCAGTTCATCCAGAGCTCCCATTTTCCCTCCCTCTCAAAAGAAATAGTGTTTTGACTTCAGTAATTCAACATTTTCATGGCCTTTAGGAGCAAAGAAACACACAGCCTGCAGAACTAACCCCCCGGTTAATCAAAGGGGGCAGCCGAATGGCACAAGGGTTTCCTTTTCGCCTTTAAGTCTTGAAAGGAGCCATCGTGTTTCTCTACCTGTTTCTTGTGTTTGGAACCCTTTTCTTCAGTACCCTCTTCCTCCTCCTCCCTGCTGTCGCCCCGACGCTGGCCCAGGGGGCCGCCACTCTTGCGCCCCGCCACCCTGCCTGCAGCCCCTGAACCCCGCGGGCCAGCTGCGCTGCTGAAGCCCCTCAGCCTGTTCAGGGTGGGCGAGGAGACACTCGACACCTGGGCAGCTCCCCGAGACGCTGCAGCAGAAAAAGTTAAAAAACGATTTTTAATGACCACAGAGAGTCAGGACCTCGGTTTTACATCTCATCTGAAGGACGGCGCCTGTTTACAGTATAGTGTCCCCGTCACTATACTGGGGCATTAGGACCCACATGGACCGCAGGGTGAGCGCCCCCTGCTGGCCCCACTAACACCTCTTCCAGCAGCAACCTTAGTTTTTCCCAGGAGGTTTACCATCCAGGTACTGACCAGGCTCACACCTGCTGAATTTCAGTGGACTGCCAGCTGTGAGCCGCAGGGTGATATGGTTGCTGGCGTGTTAAGACACCTTTCAACATGTTCAGAAACTATTCAGGGTTATTAAGCAGACATGAAGAGCCCTGTGGCTTCAGGGGATCCATGCTCACCATCACCACTCTGAACCAGAGGGCCACTCTCATCCTCCTCCTCACCACGGGACCGCTTAGCCTGCTGTGCCTGGGACTCCTCTTCCTCAGAACTGAGTTTCTTCTTCCTTCCAGATCCAGGCTTCAGGAGGCAGGACCCGAAAGAAAGCAAACAGTTATGGCCAGATAAAAAAAAAAAACAACAACCCACAACATCTCATGCATGATGAACCAAGCTTTGAAATTTCCTCTTTCTCTAGAGTTTCAACAAAGTACTCAAGGCCCAGCCCTACACTGCAGGGCACAGAAAAGATTAGCCAGGAGGATAATAATTAATATCAATTCGACGTCTTTGTTCTCTTTCCATGCCTAAGCTCCCTCACACATACTGTAGGAGGGAACTTGCATCTTCCAGCATTGACCGGCTGCCCCAGAACACAGATCAGGCGCTGAAGGGAGAAATTCCCTTCGATTTAAGAGGAAACTTGAGACAAGCGGGATGAAGTCCAGAGCAGAATTAAGCCAAGAAACCAGAGTTATTACTCCTCCTCTTACGAACAGTGCTGTGGGATTCTTAAAGGGGAATGACAGTGCTGATTTCTCAATCTGGTTATTAAATCTTGGTAACAAAATAAAATCCTTGACGGTACAGAACAAAAACGGCAAATTTCGAATTAGGCACAAAATCATGAACATTGTGAAAGTTGCCATATTGTTGCAAAGTCCTGGTCTCATCACTAGCGAGAGCAAGAGTTCCCACGAATTGAGACGTGATTTGGTCCTTCCTGCTCACTAGTAACGGTAACGACTAATGTAATGCGATATACGAGTGAATTAAGTACAGGTTGTACTGCAGATATTTCAATTTAGAAAGTTTATTACACGATTTAACAAAATCGAGTTAACAACCAAGTTTAATTTTTTAGCAAATCCATCTGAAAGTCAAGAGCAATATTTATACTTCATTAAAAGGTATTCTCAACCCACCTTGTTTACAATGTAACAGGGCCAATTCATCTCACTGCAAGTTTTGTTACCTCGTTCTGAATCACAGAATGTGGCGCCTTGCATACCTTGGAATTTCATCTGTAAATTGCGGGTTCTACAAGGTACTGAGCACATTTTACTTTTATTGTGGTACTCATCCATGCCGATTCTTCCTAAGCCCGAAATACAAAAATTGCATTTCAGTTCCCCTTTTAACGAGCAGGCAGACAGGACCTCTGTTAAATGTGCAATGCAAAGACACACAATCTACAGCACAGTGTCCGAGGTAATGGCACTGACAACACTGCTGCAGAAATTCGGGACTGGAGAGAAGAGCACCACCTACTGGTCCACCAAAGCCAGTTACAGCATCTCTCCAGATGTCTTCTGTTCCCGTACAGGCCAGACCTACTCTTACTCCACTTCCGAGATCTTATAACAATGCTGTGGATAGAGCCACAGATAACAACCCCTCTGGGGTATTATCTTATTATTGGGGTATCATCAGTATTATTCTAACAATAAATACGGTTTTATTTTTTCCCCACCAGTGTCTTTTGTCATGAAACCTACCAAGAACAACGAAATATCCCAAATAAAACAGTGCCGTGGGAAAACAAACTTCCAATCACCAGGATGTAAAAATAAACCATCTGATATGTACTGTAGCAATCCCACCATCTGCCTACCTACAGTACAGTAACTGCAGGTCCACAGAATAACTAGTAATTATTTGAGCTTTTATTTTTTAAAATGTATTACCATTTATTATTTAAAAATACATATATATCAGGTCAAGTCGGTATACTCGAGTACTTCAATGCACCTATATCAAAGTGCTCCTGCATGGATTTTAAGCCCATTTCTTACCTTGACCTCTGACCTACGTGAAGAACCTGCGCCTGAGCTCAGCCCAGCGTTTGCAGTCGCCTTCGCTTTGGGGCTTGCTGCCCTGAAGAACCTGCTTATAGAAGCCTGTTTACCAGACTTTTTACCCGTTTTAGCCATGATGAAATAATGTAGAAATTATCTAAGGTCCTCGCAAAACTACATGCGCCGCTTTTACTTTGTAAACGCACATGCTCTGCAACGCAGCCTCTAAATGTGCCGAACTGTTTTCATGCGCTTTAAGAACTGTCTGCAAAGGCGGCGCGTTTATGACGTAAAACACATGCGCACCTTAATCACAGGATTAAAACAGAAGGATCGACTTTAAAACCATGTTATCTGTTGTTTATCTTGCCTGATGCTTCACAAAACCGAAGCGGGTGACAGAGGCTCACTTAATTACGCTGCGTCGCGTTTCAAGCACTGTGCGTATAACACAGTGTTTCAGCTTCATTTTAATTCTTTAAATACACCGGCCACTGCCTCAATGTATTTATTACAATATGCAATTACAGTCCATAAGCTCTACATTAGCCAGCTCTCTGCATCTGACGTTTCAAATGCGTGCAACCTGCAGCTGACAAGTAGTGGGAGTGGTTTTGTACTACTCGTGCTGATGACGTTTTCTCTTCGTTTTCCTGGCGGGAAAGAGGGGATAGACGGAGCCGCTCAGCTGGCTGGTGTGTGGGTGACTTTTGTATCCTACGGAAGCAGACATGCCTCGTCCCATAAACTGCATCGTCGCCGTTTGCCCAAATATGGGAATCGGTCACAATGGGAATCTACCCTGGCATCCAAAAAGACTCAGGTATGTGCTACCTGCTGTGCAGACGCGTGCAGTTTGGGGGGCTGATGCATGTGGTCCACTTAAAGTGATTTAGTGCCGGTGTCTCCTTCGCTAGAATCTGCACACAGACGAGAAAACGTTCACCCCACATTAATAACGGGTTAATTAGATAGGCACTCCTGAGCTCGGCAGGATTCATATACTGTTGTGCAAGTTTCTCATTTTCTGCTCATTTGCACTTTTCGTACCCGTGTATAGGAGCGAAGTCGAAGGTCCAACGTCCAACGTCAGCTATTACGTATGATTTCTCGTTGTTTTGTCCGGGCGAGGTACCCCGGTCTGTGTTTTAATTTCTTTGTTTGCTTTTGCAGTAACGAGTTCAAGTATTTCCAGAAGATGACTATGACTCCGACATTAGAAGGTAAATTCGTTGTTGCAAGCCTAACATCCTAAAAGATACTAAAGTGCTTCATAGATTTGGGCTTCATGCGCCTACTGGATACTCAGTTGTGCACAAGCAATTTCTACAGCTTCCGATCTCGCCCTCCTTGTCAGCGGTTTGGATGGTAGTACACCCTGTTTCTAAAACAGAGCTCAGCTTAGTTCCAAAAGGATTTCAGAGCAAAGAGTGTCAGTGCGATACTAGCTCAATAACATATTTAGCCCTTTAAACTTAATTTGAAACGAAAACAAGAACCACGAGCCCTACCAGTTTTAAAAACTTCCGTCAGCTTTGTCTACAGTCTCAGCTCTAGATTCCCTGGAAATACTAAAGATTTAATAATAATTATAATTAATAATTGCTTACACTTATATAGTGCTTTTCTGGACACTCCACTCAAAGAGCTTTACAGGTAATGGGGATCCCCTCCACCACCACCAGTGTGCAGCCCCACCTATTCAGCAATCGTCATCCCAAGAACCAGTTACTGAACAGTCCTGTGTGCACAGTGCAACTCTAAAGCGTTTTTACTGCAAAATCCCCAGCAAGCAGAGAGAATATTTCTGATACTGCGAGAGTGGTTATAGCATCAGCGTCTAAATCTGTCAGAACAGTATTTCAGTGGTACTCCTTATCTTAATTACAATTCTGAAGATTAAAAGGTCTGATGCATTAAGTGTAGAATACTTCCTGTATTCTGAATTACAGTAGCTTTGATGTTGATCACCCCCAGCTCTTATAGCAACTGGTTTTCAGTGCCCATCAGCTCTGCAGTTAATCCTTAATCGGACCAACAAGTTGCTTGTTTTTTTCCTGCTTGAAGGTTGATGATTTAATGGAAGCCTCCAATTTGTTTAGGAACCGAAAACACTCAAGGGTTCCTTTAGGCTTCAGTTAATTAAAGGAGTGGAAAGAAAACCAGCAGTTGTGGGGGTACCCAGGAGGAGGATGGGGAACCCCTAGTGTATAGTATTTCATCCATTCATTTTCTAACCTCTTTATCCAGTTTGGGGTCAGAGGAGAGCGGGAGTCTACCCCAGCAAGCAGCAGGTAAAAGGTAGATTGCACCCTAGACGGGACGCCAGTCCATCTCAGGGCAGACAGACACCAACATACACGTTGACACTAGGGCCAGCTTTCCCACAAGCTAATTATATCTTTGGACTTTGGGAGGAAATGCATGTACATTCTACAACTATAAAGTATATATATATAATGTGTATATATTATATTATAAGGAGTTCAAGTAGGTAGTTGCGTCAGCATGCATGGGCTGCAAAGGAACAGCTAACGGGTTGATTCCATGCCGAAAAGAAAAGAAAGGAAAAAACGTTTCAGCTGTGGAGTATGTATAATGTAGGCTGATTGCCACTAGATGGCGGTATATCATTGCTTCTCCTCAAGAAAACGAGGCCTGCGCTAGTTCTGGCTGTTTTTCTCTGCAGTAGTTCCAGGGGAGGTGTGTTTGACTATGGGAAGTGTATATTCTCCTCTTCCAGTGAGTGTTGGTATACGAGTTGTTTCATGTGTACAGTCCCGGTTACCCAAAATACACGAAGAGAATGTTAATACAGCGTGAATATCCTGTTAGAGTGTGATCCTTACTAGTGATAAGTTTTTAATTCGTCATATACAGTAAGTTATTTAGAAATACTTCATTAATTGCTGTTTCAGTATTAACAACTTCATTTGTTTAGTATTTAGAAAATGGCATTGACAGCCGTAAAAATTGCCTAATTAATTAATTGGAAAATGCCACATGCGTTGTCTGCAGTAAATGATTGAACACCTGGTGCCGCTCCAGGTGCTGTACGGGGGGAACATTCTGAATCCCAGTGGTTTTCAAGAGTCTTTTTACTGCGCTTTTCTCTCCCTGCAGGGCAGCAGAATGCAGTGATCATGGGAAGGAAGACCTGGTTCTCCATTCCAGAGAGGAATAGACCCCTCAAAAACAGAATCAACATTGTGCTCAGCAGGGAGCTTAAGTGAGTCATAAGAACAGTATCAAAGGAGCAGAGTCTAGCCTGTCTGTGTACCAGCTGCTTGCTCTAGTGATCTCATCCAGCTATGTCTTGAAAGAAGCTGGGGTATCGGCTTAAGCAACATTGCTTGTCCCTTCTCCCACAACTCTTTGTGTAAAGCACTGCCACAGCCCAATATAAAAAGAGGTCCACGGAGATCCCAGTGGGAGCACTTTGTTTTTTATGTAAATTTCAAATCATAACCAAAGCTGGCACTGAGATTAAAATAAAGTTGCACTGCACCTGATTTAAAGGCATTGTGTCGTCAAGCTCTATGCAAATGCTTCTATGAGTTTACTGTAGCTTGTGCTTTCTCTCATGAGTTGTTAGAGGTGGTGTTAGTCCTGTGACAGTGGAGGTCAGTAAGGCCTTGAGGTTGTGTGTCACGGTATGTTTTTGGCTCTTATTCTAAGCTGATCCCTTAATTTAGCTATTTCGCCATTACTGGTGTGTTGTGAAGAATCAGACACCCGAGAGCGCTATTCTAAGTGACAGCACAACCTGGTAAATTCTGTGCATGTTATGTCAAACTGCGCCCGTCGAACGAATTGTAAGGATTATGCAAGGATTGCATAGTTCACAATAGTAGCAAAAACTTTGTTTACACACCCTGCACTTAAAGCTGAACTGCGGTTTTATTCCAATATTTCAGGGTTGGAAAGAATCAGCATTGATGTGTGCATTTCAACCTACTGTGAAAGTAAAATGTACACAGCAACCTGTTAAACCTCCAATTTAAGGAGCTCATCGCTTCTTTACACACAACATGAAGAGCTCAGCTGTCCTCTGCTCTGTGTGTGCAGGAACCCACCAGAGGGGGCGCACTACCTAGCCAGCGACTTCAGCTCTGCGCTCCGCCTCCTGGACAGCGCCCCACAGACGGACCAGGTGGACCAAGTGTGGGTCATCGGTGGAAGCTCCGTTTATAAGGTACGTCAGCGAAGACGCGGAGGCGGGGGCACTTTAACACCCTTTTATTTCACTTGTCGGTTTTTTTTTGTTCTGCATTTTCCCCAATCAAAAAATAACCTGGGCCTGATCATCTATGAGTTTTTTTTGTCTGGATGAGGCATATTTTTAAACTGTGCACAGGAGCAGAAAGCTGTGCAAAGGGCCGACGGTCAGAAGACCTATTTAAAGTGGTAACTGCCTTAATCTGAAATAAAAACTACATTTATGACTTTGTGTCCCATTGCATTGCCTAGAAGTGTTGTTCATTGTGCTATAAATCACTAATAGATTAGATAGATGAGTATTAAGATGCAGGGTGAGCTGCAATTTGTAGCTATTAGTGGTCCACTGAATGTCTCAATGTATGATAGATGGTTAATTGTAATGCGTTTTCTACCTATTCTCCTTTCTATAAAAATGTTCTAATTAATTCAATTAATTATTTTACACAATAATGTTGTGTTAACTACATTAAACCATCAGAAAATACAACAAAGGAAACTAGTCAAAACATTTGTCAGCTGGCCACGTGTAGGTTTCGGCATAACTTTTCCCAACAGGAGGAACACAGAAAGCGGTTTTGCTTGCAGAGGAAGTGTATGTAATATAAACATCTGTCAGTGTCCGAAAACTGCTTATTCCAGCTAAGGGTTATTCGAGCCTGTCCTGGAAACAGAGCTCAGAGAAGGACTAAACACTGGATGGAACACTAGCCCATCTCAGGACACCTGCCCACGGGGACAATCTAGAGACACCAGTTAACTTAGCTATCTTTTCTTTGGACTGCTGAAAGAAACCAGAACACTCATTGAAAAACCAACCTAAACACAAGGAGAACATGACATCTCCACACAGCAGGAGGCTTGGGCCCAAATCAAACATCCTCATCCCAAGGCCTGTCTCTCCTGGCTCCTCCTGTGAGCCAGCAGTACGACACAGTGCCAGCCCTAATTTAAGTGTTATTAACAATGTCAGTCATATTAACATTGAAATGTATGTTAATCTCGTTTCGAGGAAATGAAAACCATCTTTTGAGGGAGGTTGTGAAAAGGATTTCAGTCCTTTCCCTTCAGACCTATTTTTCGCAGCCCAGTGTATTGGTAATCCTGGAATCGGGATTGAGCTCTTGTTTGCGAGTTCACTCGTTTGAACCTCCATTAATGTGCTTTCAGCTGTGCTGGGCGTGGACCGCCTGCTTGTTGGGCAGTAGGCCGTCTGTTACGGCACAGTCAAGGAAGGTATGAATAAAAACGGCAGCGCGTCTGCTTGTCCCCTCCTCGTGAGGCCTGTCGGAACCGCGAACCCGCCAGGCGATGTGGTGTGCCATGGTCTGTAATATTATTATTATTATTATTAATAATTGCTTACACTTATATAGCGCTTTTCTGGACACTCCACTCAAAGCGCTTTACAGGTAATGGGGATCCCCTCCACCACCACCAATGTGCAGCATCCACCTGGATGATGCGATGGCAGTCATAGTGCGCCAGAATGCTCACCACACATCAGTTCTCAGTGGGGAGGAGAGCAGAGGGGGATCAGTAGGAGGCCATGATTGGTAAGGGCCAATGGGAAATTTGGCCAGGATGCCGGGGTTACACCCCTACTCTTTTCGAGAAAAACCCTGGGATTTTTAATGACCACAGAGAGTCAGGACCTCGGTTTTACGTCTCACCCGAAGGACTGCGCCTGTTTTCAGTATAGTGTCCCCGTCGCTATACTGGGGCATTAGGACCCACACGGACCGCAGGGTGAGCGCTCCCACTGGTCCCCTGAACACCTCTTCCAGCAGCAACCTTAGTTTTTCCCAGGAGCTCTCCCATCCAGGTACTGACCAGGCTCACACCTGCTGAGCTTCAGTGGGTTGCCAGTTGTGAGTTGCAGGGTGATATGGCTGCTGATATGGCTTCCATCACCTGTACCATGGCTATGGTGATGGAAGAGGAGACTTGTCGAAGCAGCGTGATCTAACGGTCATGCATTGACTGTCGGTGTGAGATGACGGAGACACAGTTTGCTCAGCTCGCATTGTTTTCTTACTGAGGGAGGGATAAAAGATGTATTCTGTGGTTGAGCTTGGGGGCCGTTCCCTTGTTTTTTGTTTCTGAAAATGACATCCCTCTGATCCCAAGAGCCAGATGTCTCAACAATGTCTGGTTTCTGTTTCTGCCTATTCAGACACCCAGGTGAGCAATTTGCATAGAGCTATTCTGAACGTGCTGCTGGAAATGTATTTATGCATGTGTCTCAGCAGAGGGTTTTTTTTTTTGTTTACAGCTGCTTGCTCATTTAACCGAATAGCGTGGGATTTGTCTTATTCCACAAAAATGTTTGAAGGAGAGAATTTAATTCTGCATAATCCTGTTTTTCTACTGAAGTGCTAATGCAGGACTAAGCATGGCATTGTGATGATGCATTTTAGTCATTTTGTTTCTTTTTTTCTTTCAACACCTGGGGAAACGTGGACATTGGTAATGTACAGGGAAATGCATTAAAAAGTTTGCAAGTTGTTAGCGAAGTGATCTGAGGATCTCATCCAGTCACTTCTTTGGAAGACTCAATGGTATCAGCTTTGATAACACAGCTCAGTAGCATGCTCTGGAGAAGTGTGTCCTGTTGCCAGTTTTAAATGTACTTTCCATGTTTCTATTTTTTTTTGAAAATGTTGACTTTTAGGATTTGAACATTTAAACATTTGAATATGACCCCGTAGTCTTCCAAGTGACTAAAATATTTAATTCCTTTAGCCAGTGTAGGCTATACATTTGAATATGGTTGATGTACTCCAGACTAATTCCACTGCAGCAATGCTCTGCATAATATTGAAATAAACATTGAATTCAATTGAATATTGAAAATAAACAGTCTAATTTTAGAATTTAAAATTTACATCCCTAAATTCTGCACTTTTTACTATATATTTTATCATTTTTGTGCTATTCTTATCGCTTCCTCAAGCTGTCTTGAAAACATGTCCACATAAATATCTAAATCTTTTTCATATTTAGCATCTTTAAGCTCATGACTTGTATTTTATGTGTTTTTTTTTGTTCCTGGCTGTATGTAATCTGCACTTGTCTTTCTTTTGAATTTTCCATGGAGCTTCTAAGGTTTGCAGAATTGACATGTCTTTTCACTGTAACAGAATCTAGGAAGGGCAGTGGTCATCATCTGAACCACAACATCATCCCAGCTGGAGCTTCTACACCCTTAGACTAGCGCTTTGATATCCAAAGCCATTTCAGACTGCCCTGCTTTCTACATTTTCTCCTGTGACGTATCTCAGCTCTATTGCAGCTTGGTGAAGATGGAGCTTTCACACCACTTGGACAGATCTGCCAGTGTGTTTGAGAACTAATCTGCAGCCGTCTTTGTCCACAATCGCCTGTTTCACACAGGGGCCGGGAGCAAAGATTAGGGCTCAGAGAGGACCGACACCAGCATCTCTGCAAGACTATGGCCATCAAAAACAAATGCTAAAGGTTATAGTGGGTAACGGCAATTCAGCGGAAAACATTTCAACAAAAACACAGCACTTGGGAAACCTTTAAAAATCAATCGATAAGTTTATTTTCAGTAACCCTGATGGCAGCAGCTGTGCCTTCATTCCACAGGCCCTGGGAAATGAGCTGGTGTCCTTCTTCACCATCACGTCAGTGTGAGTTGCTTTGCAAGCTATGTGTTTTACATGTTGGTGATCTCTCCTGCCGATCCAGAAGCATCCCAAAAACCATTAATAACTCTCTGAGCATGGCGAACTCGATCATTAAGAAGTGGACAGGACCCAGACTCTGCCCAGATCAGGCTGTCCCTCCCAGCGGAGCAGCTAGGCAAGGAGGGATCTGGGTAGGGTTGTCAGACTGAGGCCAATGGTGACAATGAAAGAGTCCCGTTCAGTGACTGAGATGGGGAAAAAATGGGTCAACAGTATCATTGTCACTCTCCAAAGAAAGACTTGCATTAAACCTAGAAAATACAACAACAAGCCAAACTGATGCTGCAAACATGTAACAAAATATTTTTTGGTCAGACTGGATAAAACTGGAACTTTTTGGTACAAATGCGAAATATTAAATCTGACGCAGACTTAACATAGTGCGTCACTCAGCCCACACCATCCCTACTGTCAAACAAGGCATTGTGATATAGTTCTGCTTCTTATCACCAGAGACTGGGAAACCTGTCAAGACTGATTGAATTTACTGCATCAGACCTAAAACTTGGACACAAATTCAACCTTTCAGCAAGACAGTGATCCACAGCACAGTGCCAGAGCTGCACTGAAGTAAATTAAGTAAATTAATCCTATTGAGAATCTGGAAAGACTTGAAAAGGTCTATCCATAAGGTATCCCTAAGCATCTTGAGAAGGCTTTGGTAAATCTTCCAAGAAGAATGGTTAGAAATTGTACCAAGCTGGTGTTCTTCCACCACATATTGAGTTAAAGGGTCTGAATCTGCAGTGGCCACATTTTTTACTTGCTGGCATTTACTTTGAGTTATCTTAACCCTTAGAAGTCTTCAGTTTGAGCCATCGGGTTGTGAATCGGTTATTAAGTTTAAAGATGTGTATGCATCATTTTATAATTTCACAGAATAGGGTCTGAGTGCATCTGCACAGCTGTACGCTTCACGTTTAATATCTGAAAACGAAGTGATTTATGTACATATGCGTTTTTGCAGGCATTGTGGATCTCTACTTGCAGGGAACGGGGAAGGCAGTGTCAGGGAGGGACTTGAAGCACTGAGCTAGAGCAGGCAGGATTTAAAGCAAAACAAACAGCTGCAGGTGTAGATGTTTTGTTTTCCTTTCCACACATTAGCCTCCTGGTAGCTGCCGAGCTGCTATGTAAATGGTCGTTGCGCCTCGCCTGGAAGAGCTCTGTGAATAAATCTGCGCTGCTCCTGTTGGGGAGGGCTCTTTTATCTTGGCTTTTTCATGCCAGTCGGTAAGGTCCCCTTTTTTGTCTTTTAAATCCACACATACAGAAAGGATTAAAGGGCCTCTTGAGAGGCTGTAAGGTCACCTCAGCCTTTCATGTCTGTGTGCTGTCAAAATTAAATTTTCCCTCGCCTAAGATTAGTCAGCCAGTGCTGTCAAAACCTCTCTTGCGCTCTTCGCGCCGCTGGCTCAACGGACCGCTGCCCTGACGTGGGTCTCGAAATGACCGGTGTAAGCATCTCTTCGTTTTTATTCTGACCAGTTCGGCTAACCCCACCCTTCCTCGCCGTGCGGCCGAGTCAGAGCCGACCTGTGCCGACCTCTTCTCTCCACCCGTCCCCTGACTGCCCCCTGCTGGTGAGCTCTGCTGGGGTCACCTGTCGTTGTAAGCGGCCATGAAGATCACCCGTTGGCCCCCCATGTGTCTGGGTGCACTTTCCATTATCGGAGGTATTTGAAGCTGTGCTCCCCCTGTAACTCTACAGGGCTAGTCCTGGGCCATTTGAATGAGCGTGTGTTGAGGAAGTAATAAACCTTGATCACCCGCCATCAGCGCCGTTGGGTTGGTCATGTCATCCGGAGGTCAGGCACCAGGTTGTGGGTCTCCCAGCTCAGCCCGTTTCAACAGGACCGGCCTTGACTGAGCTGGAGGAGGAGGAGGAGGAATATCTGGGAAGGATGCAATCTTGTAGTTCTCAAGATGTGTGGATGCCAAGCGAGATCATCAGGGACAGCTCAAGGAAGAGTCCTGCAAGCACTCTCCCCCAACTATAGGACCTTCTCCACCTGCTGGAGAGCAGATCCCCTCTCTACGGCGCTCATGGAAGACAGTCATCCTAGCCTGCAAGGGACAGCCAGTGAGTGATTAGTTGCATTTGCAGAGTATTGTCAAGCCTGTTGTATCTCTGTCAGTTATAAGCACTTATGAGTGTGAAATTATACCTTAACCACTCAGGCTGCATTGCCCTTTATTGGTATTATTGATCATCAGATTTAAGATCAAGATCACTTTATTGGCCATATACAATTTCTTGCATCAGGAATTTGTCTTTTTTCACATACCCCAGCTTGCTCTCCATGAGACACACAGACAGGGAGAGAAGCTTGGGGCCAGAGCGCAGGGTCAGCCTTTTATACGGCGCCCCTGGAGCAGTTGGGGTGAAGGGCCTTGCTCAGGGGCTCAATGGAGTACGATTCCTCTGCCGGCCACGGGATACGAACCGGCAACCTTCCAGCCACAGGCGCAGATCCTGAGTCACAGAGCCACCGCTCCGAAGTGCAGCTCAGTTGGATTGAAGTCGGGATATTGACTTAATCGAAGATTTTCCACGTCTTTTTTTCTCCTGCTGAACTGTTGGGTTGCATCAGCCACCCCTCATCCAAACATGTGGGCATTGATCTGGCACTCCCCGGGAAGGGGCATGAAAGAGCTGGAAGCCGGCTTGTGAGCCGGTGGCTGCCGCACGGTGCTGAAATATTAAACACTTTGACTTTTCTGAAACGCGCTTTCAAAGCGTGGCGGCTGTTATCCTGGAGTGAGACTCGGCAGCTCACTTCTTCAGTGGAATACGTCCGTGCCAGCCTGCTCCCTGTGGGCAGTTCATGATGAGCTGTGCCAGTGCTTGTACAGCGCTTGGGGAGGCTGGAGCTGTGCAGTGCAGTTGGTGGGGGCCCTTACAGTAAGCGTTGCTGTGCTTGTTGATCTCCGTGTGGGGCCAGCGGGCTGTGTCTTGGGAGAGTGACTTGGATCTGTGCCTGCAGGTAGAAACTCCATTCTTCCCAGTGCCTCTCGGCATCGGAATGGGCGAAAACTGACCCCTTGAGCAAGGTTTTAATTACACTAGTTCAGTGACAATGTGGTCTGCTGACTGTATTTGTGCAGTGGTTCCTTTATCCTGACTTCCGTCTATGTCATTCTCCTGTGCATCTGTTAACGGCAGTGTTTCTAATAGACAGCTAGGATTAAGGGGCTGATCGGTCAGACTGGATATTTCAAACCATAGATCTCTGTGAAATTGTAAATATCCACCTGAATAACACTGTCAAAGTCTTGAAAATTCAGCATTGTTTCACTCCAGAGAACATGCGGAATATCTGCCTGCTTTGGACAATTGGATTACACCTGATCTGTTCCTGTAGATTTCAGTTTTTTGGTCACACGTGAGATCTGTCCGTTTTTCTGTATTTGTGTCTGTTTCTTTGGTTTTCTTTTACTTCTGTTTTTGGATGTTGCTTCAGCATGATGCAGACCTGAGGAAGAAGGAGGATAGGCACAGGCCTATGATTATCATTATCATAAGGTGGGTGAGGTTGCCATTGTAGTGGATAGAGTTGGGCTCTCTGGTCACTGCCGGGCTTGTAAGGCTGATTAGAGTCTTAGGAGCAAAGAAACGTGTCTGAAGTGGAAAGTTCAGCAGCACACAGCGCTAGCCTGGCTCCAAACATGAGCTTCAAAACACCTGTTTACTGTTGGGTCTTACAAATCTTACAAATTGAGTGTAATGAGAAACGTCCTAATGAAGCATGTTGCTATAGTAGCCCTGTTGGCAACTCGGCTCCTCCAGCAGCCTGGCTTGTTAAAAGCCTTTGAATTAATTTTGTACACTTTAATTCCCTGCTGTTTGCTCTCAATTAGCTCTGTTGTGCGTGTATTCGCCCAGTCGGTTACATCTCAACTCGGGAGGAAGCAGATATAATTCCGCCTCCAGGACTTCTCAGAATAAGGAACAAAGGCATATGGACTGGGTGGAGCGGTGGCGCAGTGGTGCGCATTGCTGCCCGCAGACCTGGGGCCCTGGGCTCGATTCCAGTCCTGGGGGGCTGTCTGGGTGGAGTTTGCATGTTCTCCGCTGTCGATGTGGGCTTCAAGTGAGCTTTCGCTGGCGTTTCCTCCCACGGTCCAAAGACATCCTGGTAGATTAAAAACTCATCCTGGTGTGGGTGGGTGGGTGTGAGTGCCCTGCCATACAGTGGCATTTCGTTCAGGGTGTTCCCTGACTTGTACCCATTGCACGCTGGGGCAGGCTTCAGCTCCCCTGCGACCCTGTACTGGATAAAGAGGTTCTAAAAAATGTATGGATATATGAGCCACTTATTCTTTTAAGCCGTTTGCAGTAAAACGTTCTTTAAAACCGTGATGAACATAGGGAACGATGCTATTGGGGTTTGTTCGCTCACTGTCCGTCATTGCTGAGTGTAATCGTGGAACACAACATGGAATATCTTTGCTTTCTGTCACTCTGTTTTTCTCAGCGCGTCCCTTACTTTACCGTGTACGCAACGTAAACAAAGCCCTGCAGAGCTTTTGTCCTTCCTCCCTGCCTGTCGTCATGGAGATGTTGCTGCTCAAGGATGAAGAGGCCCTTTTACTTTTTTCCTCTTGCTCCCCCAACTTTGTGGCTTTGTCTAGAATTGATTGTTTCATGTAGGAGCATTAATAGGCTGTGCGCTGGCATGTCGAATCACTGGCCCGTTTTTTCATGCAATGTCTTTGACTTTTTTCACTCTGCAAGAATCTATGTAAAGAGCAGGGCTGATAAGGCAGACTTCCTGTTACATACTGAAATAAATGCAACAGATGTTGTTAACGCCATGTCTAGTGCAGAGGTAAGTTGCATCTAAAGGCAAGGTGGCTGAAGTCTTTTCTCTCCCACCTTGGCCAAACAGCTGCTCGAAGATCCCTTTCTGTATGTCAAACTGACAAGGGACCCGTTTCTCCTTCCACGTGAGCTCAGAGATTCTGTCTGGGAAAGGAGTCGTGATTAGTGTGTGTAAACATGTTCGCTAAGAGCCTTTTTAAAAGTATTACATATTTCCTAAGACACTTCCTTTGTAGCCCTATTCCATTATCTCCATCCTCTAGGATCAACAGAATTCAGTAATCCTCAGTATTCTACTCACAGATAGGCTGAGGCCAAAAGCAACAATGTCCAAGCAGAGCACAGTAGCACAGATAAAATAGATATGATGTCCCGCTGTTTTGTGTCACATTAGCAGTATTCTAAATTCAATTAAAAGTTGGAAAAAATCAAAGCAGGGAGCAGGGGCTTGGAAGTCTGCACTGCTGCTTCAAGCGCTCTTCTTTCCTGACTGGGGTACCTTCTGTGTGGAGCCTGCATGTTCTGTGGACATTTATATGGGTTTCCTCCAGGGGTTCCAATTTCCTCCTACCTTGCAGTAATATGCAGGTTCAGTGGCCTGGTGTCTCTATAGCGTGCCTGCGTACCTGTTTGTGTGTGCCCCCCTGTCCTTTCCAGTGTGTAGTTTCACCAGGAAAAAGTTACTTTATGGTGATGGATGGATCGTTGGGCATTGACAAACGGGTAAGTACTGATCTCCTCAGAAGGCGTCCATAAGCTTTTTGTGTCTGGATAAATTATGGTCACGTGTTTGTTTTTTTCCCCCAAAAGCTGTGCTGTACCTGGAGACCCCACAGTTTCCAGTTCCTTATGAAAAGCGAAAAAGGGGCTCGTTGAAAAGAGTCGTCATGCAATCTGTTCTCTGTGCTTCGTCCTGTAGGAGGCGATGGAAGCCCCAGGCTGGTGTCGTCTCTTTGTGACTCAGATCCTGCAGGACTTTGAGTGCGACACCTTCCTGCCTGAGATTAATTTAAACAAATACAGGCTTCTGCCAGAGTAAGTGGGGTTTTTCTCCGTAAGAGAGGGCAACATTGGGTCAGAAGCAGAGAGGGTGCTGATGTTTAGAAAGCTGAGCGAGCTCTGTCGCAGCGGGAACTGCCAGAGTTTCCAAAAGCACTGCGATGAAGATGGAGAACGTCGCTTGAAACCCCAGCAGGACGAAGAGAGCCAGCCAGCCCACTGAAGCCCACACACCGCAGTGCCACTGCTGGTTTACTGAGAGAGTGTCGTCACTCCCACAGCGTGCTATTAACTATTAACACAATTGCGTGTGTTTTTCAGACCTAATGCTTGTACGCTCAGGTCAGCACATTTTTTTCCTCTTACAGGTTTCCAGGTGTGCCATTGGAGGTTCAGGAGGAAAACGGGATTCGTTATAAATTCGAAGTCTATGAAAGCATTCAGAACTGACTCGCATTTCCACATAACTCTGGCATTGTCTCTTTTACACACTGAAGGCTTTTTGTTTTGTGCTGTGTGTTTTTTCTAAAAACACAATAAATTGATTGATTGATATCAACACTACTGACCATTTAGAACGGTAACTTTTTTGGCCTTGGAATTGAACACTGTTGTTAGTTTGGGGGCTGAAAAAGCAACAAACAAGCAACATTAAACTGCCAGCAGTCGAGACTCTTGGGGAAAGTGTATTTACATGACTGCTCAATGTAGCGGCCAGGGAAAACTGCTGTAAATGTGACTGTAAATGTCACTGTAGTTTCCACCCCCTTCAGCCCAGCGCCCTGTAGTTCAGTCCCTTTGCAGTACATCAATATTTCAGTGTGCTATTCAGAAATGAATTAGTTTGGTCTTAATGTTGATTTAAAAATACTCAGTGATGTTTCGCAACACAGTAGCTTAATTTTGTGCAGGCACTGTTCAATGTCAATTAAAGTCAGTGAGATACTGTTGTACAGCTGTGTTTGCTCATATGGGTTGTCTGTTTTGTCCTTCTCTCCCGTGTGCGATGGCAGGGTTTGTAGTTCAGAACCAACATGTGAAAAACAGAGATATTTATCCCAAATAGTGTTGGATATAACAAAAATAATTGGAGATTCTAATTTTAACAAAACTGCAAGTACACCAGTACAGGACCTAATGTGATATTTTTGGTTTCTTTTCAGTGTTTTCTCTTTTATATAAGAATGGTACAATATGTTTTCTGGGGGAAGGGGTGCAGGGGCATCCTAAAACTGTCAGTTTTAGAAACAGTGCGCCTGATAGTTGTCATCTGAAATAGCTGAGGTCCCAACACTGTGCAATGCTGTGTATCAGATAGGATCCGCCTGGTGAGTTTGATGTTGGCTCCTGTTCTTCTTTTATGCACTTAACTCCCGAAGCAAAGATTTGACATTCATGATGTTTCGATACAACAATCAACTTTTAACTGTACTGGTGTCCTCTGGAAAAAATAAAGGGCGCTTCAGGGTGATCTAGGCTCAAAGCTGGCTGGGTGCATTTAAAAACAGAGCTTATTTGGTAATAAAAATAGACATGCTGGCTGATTGAAATGACATTTCTCAGTGTAAAGAGATGCAATCACTGCGTTCAGCTGGCAGCTCAAGCACATGTTTGTTAATAATTTTTCTTAATTGCTCTTTTGCAGCACACTTATCCTTATGGAAAATGGGGGCAGTTTCATAATGCCAGAGGTTTTTAAACACTCCAGTAAATTAGCTCTCCGGTTTGCCTCACAGTTTCGGTAATTTTAGCATTTTCGTGGCTTGCAAATAAAAGTGTTTTTTTTTCAATCAGTCGCGACCTGGTTGAAAAATGGATCTCCTGAGCACCAAATGCCTGGTTATCTCCGTGTTGTTAATAATGGCATCAGGTACTGTAATGGGATGAAAGTCTGAAAGCGCCCTTATTAGAAACATTGCTTTTTACTAGACAGCAGCAATCGTTTCAGGTATAGAGCTTTATTTAATCAAAATGGGAGAAATCGCTCACTGTCCTGACGTCTTCAGAACCGACAATGACATGCAAGCCGGACAACTTGAGGAAACCAGGGAGAAGTGCCTTTGAGACGGAGAACAGGAGGTACTTCTGTACGCAAAGGGTGGCGGGAGGAGGGAATAAGCTGCTCTGCCTATTTCTGGAACTGAGCTCTGGCTGCTTTCAAGAAGCAGCTGGGTGGGATTCTTGAAATAATTACTTTGAAATAGTGGTCTGCTTCCCCCTTCTGGTTTTAAACTTACTTTCAGCACCTGAACGTTGTTCAACTGTATCTTCAGTTCAGAAGGGTGCAGAGTTAGGGGTTTTTCCTCTTTCTCCTCTTCAGCTGTTTTCCCACTTCTTTCAGAGACGCCTGGGTTGGGTGATGGTTTCTAAGCGATATAAAGATTAAAATCTGTTTTTTGAATCAACCTTTTTTTAAGTAGCTTGTTATTTTTCAATTTGGTTTATAGCTGTATACATATAACTGTCTTTAAGTTTAAATTTAAATTTAAAGTCGTCTCTCATCCTTTACCAGTCTGGGTTTTCAGATCTAAATCATGAATCCTGCCGCTAATCAAAAGCTGAAGCGGATCTAGCTGTGAATCTTAATGAGCGTTTCGTCCCGGACGTTAAGAGAGCTGCCCGTACCCTTGTGTGTGTCTGGAGCTGTGATTGGAGCCAGGGAGGTTTCCTTGTTCTGTATCCCAAGGGACAACCGCAAGAAGCTGGGCTGCTGACTCCCATTGATTCGAGTGCGAATGAAGCACGCCTGCTTAGAACAGGCAGCCACACTTTCAATATGTCCTGTTGTAGCATGACTCATTCGAAAGTACTCCATGATCTGGATTGCAAATGCATTCTGCTAAATTCATGCTGTTCCTGAGTAATACGGTATAGCATCAGGTGCGCAACTCCAGGCAGGTTTTTTTAGGTCTCTTTAAGCCTTTATGGTCAGTAGCAGAGCTCTATGAACTGGGTTTAAATCTGGGCATCTGGCCTGGAAAAAACTGCTTGTACGATTCCCCAAAAGCTGATGTCAAAGTGCCTGCAATGATCAAGGATGGGAGAGTGAGAGTGATTATGAGTATCTTAGAAATGGTGGCACAGGTTATTGTCTGCAATGACAAATGTTGCACTTGTTATTTCGTTCGTGTTTTACTCTGAACCTTCTGCACACTGTTTCTCGAATTGAAGAGGAATGCGACTCAAGGATGTGTGATACCACGAGAGACCACCTCCCTGAGAGATGGTACTTTTGCCAAGGAATCTTAGAAGTTTTTTCATCTTGCCCCCTGCCTCAGATGGCAGACAGATGCGCAGCTCACAAGAGGCTAATGGCCTGCAATCACCGGAGTGGCGATCAGCTGTGCAGCCTGCTCCAGCCCACATAAATAGAGCACCGAACCAGGAAGGATGAGTGACTTCTGGGAGAAGAAGTCTGTCCCTGCACAGGGTGATGCACTATTGAACCAACCTGCGGGATGAAGATCAGCTGTGCTTTTACCTCACCAGTCCCATAGGTTCAGTGCAGGCTGCTGGCTCACCAATGCAGTAACAGGGCATAAGGCTACAGTCCCTGGGCCACCTACACACATGTGCCTGAAGACACATGCCTGTGCCAGTGTCTTGACCATCTCAGAAAGAACGTTAACCACCGGATACGAGCTGCTACTGTATGTAGTTCCAGTGAATAAAGAAGTTTGACTTCAAGACTTGTGTGAGGGGGGCGCTCCTTTCCTCAGGATCCCACCTGGACCCTGTACTCCTCTTTTGAGCCGCCCCACGTGGCATCACAGATGGCTAAGAAGAGGTAGACCACATGCTGCAAAAACCGCGAAGATCAAGACAAGAGTCCTCTCCCTCCTTGAGAAGGGAGCAATGCCATGAGAGGGCAGAACGAGGGTTTTTCTCGGAGCCAGAGGGGAGATCTGAAATCTTTGCCACGGTCGAGGTGCGTACTCTGCAAAGCTGTCCTTCATGCAAAAGAAAATAAGAACTGCTTTTCTGAGTTACACCAGATAAAATGTTTTTTAATTAAGCTTTTGAGTCATTCTTTGTAGCTGAATCATTATTCTATGAATGTATATTACTCACCAGCCTTGAGAAATGTCTAAGAATAATTTATGTACTAATAAAACAATATAAGCACATCTTGTATAAAGCCATTTTGTATAACCTAATCACATCAGAATATTCAACATGGATATAAAAATGGTCTTTGTACCCTCTAAGGCTCACTGCCTGTAAATATTGAAACAATGAAAACCTTTCAGTTACTTTCTTGTCAGGAAGCATTCCTACAACATATGAGCACTTATATTTATACATTTATAAATGGTTAAATCATCAAAAGGTGAAGATCACTGAAAGGTGTTAAACTGGTCCAATTAAGTTAATGATGAACTCAATTAGGTCATCATTTCTCCAAAGATGTTTAATTAATCACTGGTTCTCTATGCATCATCTCTATTACAAATTGCTGTCTGAATTATCGTGTTTGTTGGTGCCCATCCACAGTTTTCTTTTATCTGATGAGCTAGAGGGAGCTTTACTTGATTCTCTGTTCATGGATTAGCAACCCATACACCGTCTCCTAGACAAATCAAGCATTTCCATCAAGACTGACCCTTCGCTGATTAATCTGAACAATGTTTCGAATTTAAAATGCATCTGAGCAATTTCTTCCACAGTGCATACCTTGAGTGGCGTTCTGACTTAATTTAGGGTTATCTCATTATACTGAGATTACAGCTGAGTGCTGGGGAGCTCATCCACACACCTGTATGAATAATAAACAAGTTCTTAACATTTCAGTTGACACAATGGGTTGTTATTAGCTATCTTGGAAATACAGGCACCTGGAAAATGTATATTTAGACTCTGAGATCACCGATTTTACAATTACTGTCTAGTTTGTCAGCCATTTGGGAAAGAAGGGGTGAGCCAGTGGCCAATTAATCTGCCCTGCTCTGATAAAACACAACACAAGAAAATATCACTGTCCCCCCCCAGTCTTTTTAATCTGTGTCTGTAACTGCTGCATTGGATGGGCTCATTCAAGGTTCTTAAAGTTAAGATTATAACAAAATTATTTTAATTTAATCCCTGTTTTGGGTCATATAACATTTTCCTAACCAAATACATCTTGCCACGAGAAGAGCCATCTGTTACAGTTAAAGTAGTGCTTTCCCAATGTAGTTGATGATGAACTGTCGAGCTGAGTAATGGTTTTGGAGAGCAAGAATGGAAATAGTGGACCACAGCACAAAAGCTGAGTTTGGCCTCGAGTCTTTTAAAGGAATGTCCACAGCTTTCATCATAACCAAGGATCTCGGACACTCAAACACTAGCAGGAGATGCTCTGATGTGCACGCAAGCCACTTGCTTTAGCACTGAGACACCACACAGGGGGCGCTGGAATTCAGCACCCGGCTGCCAGTCCATTCCAGTGTGGAATTGTGCTGAGCTTCCCGGTGCCTCATGGCAGTGCCTGGCACTGGCCCAAAGTTTAAGAGGAGGTGGCAAACAGTACGTTAAATGTGCTGTTGACTCCCAGATAGATGTGCAAGCCTTTCACATTTTGGTGCAGAATCCGTGTTGCACCTATCCCAGCGTGCCTTTTTTATTCCTGTGTTCTTGAGCCTGGTTGAGCTCAGTGTATTAAGAAAAGGCCGGCTCGGTGAGGGTGAGGGCTCCTTAGACGCCATCAATGTAAAGTCACGTGGCTCCTGTCCTGAGACAGGCCTGCTGGTCGGGCCCGATAGGGACAGTAATTAGAGGTGATGTGTAAGGCACCAGTCACTGATCCCTCCTGGTACATCTCTTCCCCCTCCGTGATCGAAAACATCAGGCCTTTCATTACTCCTGTTCTTCTTTCACTTCCATTAGCGGCCAGCCATTTACTGGTCATTCCGGGGATCAAAGTAACCTAATCAGAGACTTATATATAGAACAGAAGTAGGACATGGCAAAATCAGGGCCGTGTCATTTGAAAACTGAAAAATGTATCACCGGAGTTTCACATACTTACTTTATTTAAAATGATTTTTTTTAAGCATACTGAATTATCGCAAGATGGATAAACGTTCGAATCAAATACATTTTTTTTCTGACAGACAAAAATAGCATAAGCTCAGAAATTGTACCGTCTTGTTTCTTTTCTGGGATATGTCATAATAAGGTCCATTTTAAACCTGCTTAAGGTAATGGTCACGTTTTTTTTTCCTGTCCCTTCTAGTCATGAAATTGCAAATTGCAGACACCAGGATCTCTGTAACCGCACAGGGAGATCGGTGTCAGGATAGGAATGTCCCAACAATGATTTTTACATCTCCGTTTTAATGGAAATTGAAATGAATGAATGGAAATACACCGGGGTGGCAACAGTGCAGTGGCTAGCATTGCTGCAGCCCGGTGCTGGGGCTCCATGCTGGACCTGGGGTGCTGTCTGTGTGGGGTGTGTACATTCGCATGGGTTTCCTCTGGGTGCTCCAGTTTCTTCCCAGAGTCCAAAAGCATAGTGGTAGATGACTTAGCTCCTTGGAAAACTGGTCCCAGGTGTGAGCGCACGCGCGCGTGTGTCTGCCCTGCGCTGGGCCGGTGTCTCGCCCAGGCTGTACACTGCCTGGTGCCCGTTGCTTGCCAGGATGGGCTCTGAACAAAAGAAGCACTCGGAAAAGGGATGGATGCTTGAAATACACTGAAAATTCTAGGAAAATACAACTGCAGAAAACTTGCAGAGTTATCATCAGGAAATTGACCATCTTTTTATTTTAGCAGGTACACGGACAACTGTCATCGGTAGGGTTGATCAACAGAGGGAAAGTCAAAGGCTACTGCATTTTGTGGCCTCCACTGGAAGTAATACCAGTCGTGGATGCATGTTTTGTCGCAGACTGCAGGGGCTGCGTTGTGTGATTTCCATTCTTCTCGTCGACCCTGTATCTGCACGTACTTGTTCACTGGTCTCTGGGCTCTAGATGCCACACTGCCTCCCAGCTCATCCCACAAATATTCAATGGCGCTCAAGTGCGGGAAGCCAGGGCAGACACAGCAGCGCGCTGTCCCACTCTCATCTCCACTCCTCATCGCACTCATTACCTGACAGTGGAGTGCTCATTCCAGCTCCCTCCAGCTGGCTCCCAGCTTCCATTTCACCAGTCCCCAGCTCTCCAGTCCCACCTTGCTTCACAACTACTCCATTCTCATTCTGGCGCTCTCCCACATTCTCTCTTCTCTAACCCCGCCGGCCGATCCGGTTTGGCCAGGGACACTTCACTATAATCGACCCAGCATCTCTGACGCCCTAGCAGCCGGGTTTGCTGTTTCCTTCCTTGCCCTCCCCCGTCAGCCTCAGAGACTATGCATCCATCTGCAGGCTCTTAGTGCGCATGCTGAACATGAGACTCAGCCTGTTCTATCTAGACTCCACTCTTGCATGTATGTTGGAGAAATGATACCCTGCTACCTTGCCAAGGGACACCTCACTCCTCCAGGTGTTAATGCCTCAGGTCACACCCTAGTCCAGCAAAGCTGACCCTATTCATTGAAAGCATACATCTTCTACATTGGACCTGGAAAAACAAACTACCCGTGGTAGCTGTCTGTCTGTCTGTCTGTCTGTCTACTGTTGGCTGTCTGTGACCATGACCAGTCAGGAGGATGATCTTTATCCGCTGGATGTTGTCATACTAGGTCCCAGGAACTGACATCGGTCACTAAAAGAGGTGTTCTGCAGCCACTAGACACTCCTGGCCAGACTATCGCATCTATATCCAAAGTCTGTATACTTTATGTTTCTAATGCATTTTTCAGTGTACAGTATCTGTTTTTGAAATGCCTTGATGTCCTCATTATGGACGGCACCCTAAATGTAAACTGGTACTCTCTCAATCGCATTGTCCTCTTCCCATCGATTACGTTTTATGTACCCACAGCTCACTGAAGCTGTTGTCCTGAGGCATGAAACTCTGCAGGTTCAAGCCCGAGCAGCCTGCACAGTTTGTCATGCGAAATCTCAAGGGCAGCGCTGGAGAGAATTCACGTGGCAGGAAGGTGTTTGTGTTGGTGAGGAGTTTACTCTTCCATCCAGTGCGGTGATTTGTGCTTTTTCATTCCTTCTGAAATTGCCTACCTTTAAAAATAGTTCAAGTAGGGAGCTGTGTCAGCGTGCGTAGGCTGCAAAGGAACAAGTGCAGGTTTATTCCCTGCTGAAAAGAGAAGAGAGGAAACAAAGTTCTGGCTGAGCAGAAAGGAAACAATGTTCTGGCCTTCTTTGGGTGTGAGTGCTCCACAGCCGAAACGTTGTGTTTTCTTTCTTGACAATTAATTTCGTAATTTTTTTGGCGAAAAAAATTAGATGTTTTCTCATTCTTCCGAGGCCTCATTAAGAATATTGTGTACAATTGTGCTCACCACAGGAGGCGTTTTGTTACCCGCAGGAGTAACAAAGTGTGGAGTATGGATCAAGCTATCCAGGCATGTTATTGAAGCCGATACCCTGGACACCTCTGTCAAGAAACACCTGGATGACATCTGTAGGTCATCTAACTTCTAACTACTAAATACCAAGACAGGGCGAATGGGCGCCTCTCGTTTGTAACCTTTCTTATGTTATTATGAAGAGCTACATTCGAGGAGCTCTCACAAGCATAGAGAATGAATAGAGTAAAGCTAAAAATGTGGTTAACTGATAACTGTCACGGTCGACATCCATCCCCTAGGGGGCGCTCCGCTACTCTCTTCTCCCTACCTCCTTGTGATTCTGTCCTCCCGCTGTGTCTTGTTTGCCTCTCCATTTAATCCCAGCTCCTCCCATGCCCAGGGCTCAGCATTGGCATATGGATGTCATGAGGTCCGCCTGGCACCAGGGCGCCCCATGTCCGTGGCCTGAGGGCATAGGCCTCATCCCAGACATCTCCCGCATCCTGAGCCCGGGGCTTGGAGGGCCTCACCCCGTGATCCCTTAGTCTTGTCGTGTCTCTGTTTCCCCTTCCCGGGGATTTTAACCTTGCGTCATCGCTGGGTGGACTACTGGACTGTGTCCTGACTCCTTTTTGGATTGGATACCTGTGTCTCTTCCAGGGTTCCCCGTCTCATGAACTGTCCCTGTTTCTGCACGAATAAATCCCTGCTTCTTTGCTCCTCAGTAAGTCTCCTTTTCCTCCAGACTCTACCGCTCGCACTGGGTCTGATTACAAGCCCAGGACGGAGTGCAGGAGAAAACCCTGACAACACCTCACTCCAGCTGGTGCTTGCTCAGGAAAGTAGAGACTTGATCCCGTGGTTCTGATGTCAATGAACCTGCATCATTGACAGCTCAAGATGAACTGTGTCACTAAACACAATTATCCAGTAATGTAATGTGGCCATAATGGGTTGAATCCAGTGTTTATGGACAATTTTCTTTTGTTAAATTCCGACAATTCAATTTTTTAATTGCATTGCATTAAAACCGCCCACTGAGTCAGGCTAAGTAGACTTTTTTTATTTTGTGTAAATAAAGTGATTTTTAGGTTTCTCTATCACCATGAACAGGCACACCAAAGACCTGACCTAAGATACCTGGACATCCGGTAAGCGGAAAGCTGGCAATATTACTCTGATACTGCGCTGGCAATATTAGAGTACGCACCGCATTACCATAATGGCAGCCACCTCTTATCTGTTCCTTTACAGAAATAAAGAATAACACCTTCCAGGACAAGAAAAGGTGTCGGTTTTCTTATTTAAAATAATGTCAGAATCAAAAAAGAAGTCACAAGCTGATTGTTAAAAGAAAAGGTCCCACATCTCCCCTCACAAAAAAAGAAGTCGTCTTATCTGAGTGAAGAAACTGGTTCTTCTGGGACTGCAAGTTGTACATATGAGACAGGTTGTGAACTTATAATAAGCAATGTCTGGGTATGCCAGTTTATCAGTGTAAATACCCTTGTGTCATTCACTAGATAGGAATTACCCTGCCATAACACACTTTCGATTCTTCAGAAATAAAACCTGCTGTTATATCCTTGTCAGACAGCCAATGTGAAGGAAGCACAAAGCACTCTTTGACATCATGTATTTAATACACTTCCACTGTTCAGTTCAGTACCAGTGTGCTGGACAGGGCAGTGGAGAAACTTTGCCGGGGCTCCAGCTCCACCTGAGGGGACACCCTCCTTCCTCTGCTGTCCGGCCCCTCTTTAGGGACAGCGTAAAGCCCATTGGTTGGCTCCAGGCTGTCAATCACCACTGAGACCACGCCCCCTCAGGTCTTATCAGACCTCTGCGCTGAGCAGGAAAGCAGACAACCTGACTCCCTCCAGCTGACTGCCCACTCTCATGCTGCCTGTAATTGCAGTACCTGTCACATTTACAGTCAGAGCTGTGGGCTTCTGTTACAACCCCGCCATGTGAAACATCAAGTGTTTTGTTTTTGAACCAGTAGTTTTAGAGTAGAGTTCTACCCCACTCATACACACACAGACACACTTCACTCCGGGAAAGATATCCATTTCTTGTCCTTTTACCCCTAAGTATAAGACTTACCACAAACCTCAAAGCTGGATTACCTTTTCATTTGGCAAGATGTAACATGCAACAAGCCGGGGACTGAAGCGCTCTGCACAGGATTCATGACGAAGCTACACTGGTAAGTGCCTCATTACTCACATTTTTAAACTATTCTACTTGCAGCTGTTGAACAGGTAGAGAAGTAGTATGTGTGGTCTCTCTAAAACCTCAAGAAATCAGGATCTGTCTTGCACTATGTAAACTCTGGTACAATAACAGCCTGCTATAATATTGGAAATACAATGTAACATTTCCAGCTTACATTTTTTTTTTTTAACAATTGGGTGAAGGTTATCTCTAAATGTCTCTGAAGTCCTGTCTTTACTGTTTATCACCTGCCTCACAGTTCCTCACTGTGGTTGTGTTTCATACTCCTGTTAGTTATGATGTCCTCGTAGCTCAGAGAGATGACTGATACACACAGATGGTGTGGGTTGATCACTTACTCTGTGGAAACAAGCACACAGTACTGACTCACATTATATCTGCTGTTAGTGCACACTGAAGAGAAGTGTGATAATTCAGTACAATTCACAAAGAACTTTGCAAATCCAAATATCTATATTGCTATTTTAACAAACACAAAGTTGGGATGACACCAACGCAAATAAAATCCCAAGGTTTATTCTTTCAGGCAATGCAATCTGGAAATTGTATCTGAAAAGACACACCTATAAAAACATAAGAAACACAAAGGTGTCATTTGACATTTCTAGCTTATTTGATTTTTAGCAGTCCATTGATAATATGATCTCATCATTTCATTCAGCCATTGTACCAGCTTCATCAACATGGCTGGGCAGCTTGTTCCACACTCCCACCACCCTTTGTGTAAAACTTTCCCACTGTTCTCAGGTTTAAATGCCCTTCCCCATATTTTCCATCTGTGTCCTCTGGTTCACGTTTCTCTTTTGCTTCTGAATGAGTCCTCTTCTTTGACTTTAAGGATTTTGAATACTTGAACCAGGTCACCTCATAGTTTCTCCATTCACCTAAAAACATTCAGTTCATTTAGTCTGTCACAGTAGGGCATTCCTTTGATTCATGCCAGGAATGTATCTTTGTCTCCTGACTAATCCAGGAACAGCAATATCTTTATATAACATGGTGACCAAAATTGCACTCAGTATTCTAAATGAGGTTTCACTAGTGTATCATTCAGTTTAAACAGAATCCCTTAATTTAAATTATATGCTTACACTATCCTAACATTGTGATTTCCTTTTAATTCCTTCCCCTCATTGTTTTGAAGATGTAAATGATACGTCAACAAAAACACTTAGTCTTTTACATAAGTAGCCTCTTCTAGCTCAGTGTTTCTCCTTTTGTATTTATCATTCATGTTATTGCTACTTTCTCATTTGCATTAAATTAATTTAAATCTTTTTGATTTTTGTTTTGCTGCCCCCAAAAGCATCTGCTAATCTTCCTTGGTATGATCTGCAAACTTGACTAGTTTAAAAACCAGAATTTAGATTATCAATACAAATGAGGAGGAACAAGATTGCCCACTGCCTGCAATTTGACAATAACTGCTTCAAATAATCATTTATTTTGTAAAATTATATTGTATGCTCTGCGACTTTCATTAACGTTGTTTGCCCTGCCCTTTATAATTCAATTTTCACCTTTCCCCAAAACCCCTCATCATTAAGATGATTCTAGAAGATATATTGCTCTATGAGTACTTGTTTTGGTTCTGTCATGTTTTCGACAGATGGGTGGTACATGAGGAATTTGTCAGTCAAGAGGTTTTACAAATTGTAAGAGGACAGACTAAGATCGTTGTGTGGTCCACATTACCCAGAAGTCTGTGGGGAAGGAATGGCTGCCCTCAGTCACCTGACCAGTTCTGAGAAGGTGATTGGTCAGCTGATACTTTAAAACACAGGAAGCAGGAAACAAGAAGGTCAGTTAACATCTGCTCTCTTTCTCTGGAAGATGGTAACCACCTCAGCTCCTGAGGGGACAGCATACTGCTGTTGACTCAGAAGTGATTTCAGTGTCACGGTTGCAACAACGCTTGTTGCTGTGATTGTTGTCTGGACTTCAGGATTTGTAATGGTGGTGTTCCGAGAGCTGTGGCCTTGAGCATTGACTCTCTGTTCTGATGTTTGACTGATGTGAGGTGTAGCTGTTGGGATAGTGTTTTACTTTCTCCAGCCACCTGGGAACAGCTCCTCTGTCACTTTCTCTGCCTTGGTGCTCTGACAAATTGGGATACATTACCTAACTTATGGTTTTCTCTCAGATTCTTTTTATTTGAAATAACTCCACAATTGCAGTGCATAAGTGAATGACTGAGCACACAAGGGACTTAACTGGGGACTCTACACATATTTAGAGAAGCCATTGGTAATCACTGACCTTTGATTGAGGTTTGTGGATCATCACTCCTGCTGCTTTTCCGGGCACACATTAGCTTTTCACAGGCACATGAAAAGAGATTTCCCTGCCTGTTTCAGGAACCTCACCGCAGTTCACAGAGAATGGTCAGCCTTCTGTGAAAGAAGAAGGGGTTTGCTCCATGCTTAGGAAAAATGGTTAAAAATACTCCGGGGAGGCGCAGTGGGAAGCATTGCTACCTTTTAGTGCTGGGGCCCTGGGTTCGAATCCTGGGGTGCTGTCTGGGTGGAGTTTGCATGTTCTCCCCGTGTTCCTGTGGGTTTCCTCCCACAGTCCAGAAACATACTGGCAGGATAATTGACATGGCGAGGTTGACTCTGGTGGGATTGTTTGTGTCTGTGTGTGCCCTGTCATGGACTGGTGTCTCGTCCGAGGCGTACCCTACCTCGTGTCCATTGCTTGCTGGGATAGGCTCTAGCCCCCCAGTGACCCTGAATGGGATAAAGCAGTTTGAAAAGGGACGGATGGATTAACTCATCTGATTAAATTTGTGTTTTTCTCATTTTAATTTTAAATTTCTAAATTTTCCTGAAAGCTTTCAAATTTCTTTTTGCAATTTTCATAAGAAGAAAAAAAGGTGGCGGGTGTTTGACATGCAAACATTAGTTCACCTAGCCGAAAGAAACACAAGGAAAATATCCCATAATTTGAGGGCACAGTTATATTTTTCAGTGCATAACTACATTTAAAACATCAGCATTACTCAGCAGGTAAACAAATAACTGGTGTTGGGCAAAACATCACTATAGAATATTCCAAGCCTATCGAAGGAAATGATTTCCAGAAGGCAAAGTGGCGCTCATTTAGATGATACAGCAGGGACGTGTCAAGGGGTTTAATTGCTCAGCAGAGTGAAAAAAACTGATGAGCCTTCAACAAGTGTGATTCAGTTGTTGTGAATTTATTTTTCTCTTCCATGGAAAAACACAAATCACAGAGAAATGATGCACAGCTTTGTGTGGGTACCAACCCGCTGTAAAACATCAGCAACCACAGTGAGATATTATATTATAAAACTCTGTAATGTTACAAAATAGAAGTTCAGGAAATATTATTCCAGGAGATCCAGGACCAGGGCTGGAGACCCCTGATTCAGGGTGACCTGTAAGACTAACTGGACTGGGGCTCCCCAGGACCAGGGCTGGAGACCCCTGATTCAG